ATTTAGCCAAGAAGGGAGGGAAGGCAGAGTCACAATGAATCTGGAGCTAAAGCAATAACCAAACAGAAGGATGGGAAATAACTATTCAGAAGGTAGGGATCACAAACAATCAGGATGTTAGGATAACAAACAATCTGGAGTGAGAATTATGCCAATTAGGAAACTGAAAGTACATGCTTGTGAGACATACTACATAAAGCAATTAGAAAATCGACATAGGAGTGGTATGTTTTGCACAGAAATGTGAGAGTGCTCAATCAGGCCTCACCTGAAGACTGCATTGTATTTTTCTTCCTCTCCTGTCTTTCCATTCCTCAGGACTCCTAGAGAATTATATTGTCTTTTTTCTTTCCTATATTTTCATTTACTTTGCCGAAGCTCATGAACTCTCTATCAGTAGTAATAACAGTTCATTACACTGCAGACATTCTATAATCTTACAATTAAATTTCAGTGTTCTATAGTCTTACAATTAAATTTCAGTCTTAAGATGGTCATGGAATGTGAACTTTCATTCACACATCCCTGTTTCTCCCACTTTAAGTGTGGTTGGATGACCAGAGGAGTTAGAATTTGGAACTTCTAAGTGTAAAACCAGAGTTATCTCATGTTATATTCTGATAAATATCCTGTAGGTTTTAAGACATCTTCTCTGGAGATTAGGCCTTATTAAATACAACAGAGCAGACTCACGCATTTCACAATGTTTTCTTTTCCCCTCTTGTGCCAGAAGGACCAAAAGAATTTTTCCTGATTAATAGTGTGTATGTGGCAATGTTCCTGGAGGTAAAACCCACAAAAATAAGCTTTTGACCAGACCCTTCTTACAGATATATCCTTTAAAGTCCAACACAGTAAGCCTTCAGAACTGTTTTTTTTTTTAATTATTATTATTTTTACTTCTAACGCTGATTATATGTTTGGTCAGGGTAGGAGGGATCAAGGATTAGGGAAAAGTGGGTGAAATCATTGTTTCCAAATTTTTGGTGCCAAAATCAATTTATTCTTTTAAATACAAGAACCTGGATGAAAGCCACAAAATCAAAAAGGTCACTGATTGACATTGATTAACTATGAGAGAAGAGTCATAATAGATCCTAGAGCTACAAATGAGCACACAGTTTCTCATACAGCTGATGTGATGATCTAAGAAAGTTTGAAATCCAGGGTTGAGAGAGGACAAGGGTCAAAGGAGAACCTGTGATATTTACCAGTAGTTCCACATCTTCAAACCCTAATAAAGGAAAAATTTGATACTGAAGATGATTCCTGAGGAACAGATTCTTAAAGCTGAAGTCACTCAATTGATTTTGTAACAATAGACTGATGTCATCATTGGTCCTGAATTATTGTACCAAAATATAATCGACATGGTCATATGTATTTTTTTATTTCATTTTATGACACAGTTTCACAGGCTCTGGGATTCCCCCAAGCCCTCCCCATGTCCTCCCCATGTTGGATTCCTCCATATTGTTACAGTAGTACAGTTCATATCCAGTCATCATTCCTTCATTGTGGGCATGGACCATGCAAAGAGTCCAGCATCTTATTGTCCAGATAAATTCAACAGTTTCATTGGGAGACCATCACTAGTCTGAATGTAGAGCTGGCAGAATATCTTCCCTTCCAATGAAAAGCCACAACACAACTTCAACAACAATTTACAACATCATGAAGTTAATTGACATGGTATTGAGTGACCAATATGTTAGAAAATGCAAGTTCTTAACCACATCCTGTGACTACTTCATTGACATTTCAATTTTAGTTAATACACAACCAGCTGTTATATACCTTAGAATGGTTATAGGTACTATTCAGCTGTTTCATGTCTATTTTCATTTTTATATTTAGCAGCTTATAGTATTCAAGCATGATTTTTACTGAATTTGGTGAATTTTATATTTCTTCTTGGCTCAGGAAGAAGGGGAGAGATAAAACCAGAAGTCACACTCAACCTCCCAAATTTCCCAGTACCCAGGGAAGGGTAACTGCCACCTGATATCAATCCACGGCCCTGATGTAGTACATGTTCCGCGGGTTCTGAACAAGTGGTTTAGATAGTTCTGAAATGCTGGTGATTTTGCCAATCCAAGGTTAAAGCAATCCTCTCAATGTCCATTGGCTGACACAGTTGACCTCAAGTCTCCATTCACCCAGATGTTTCCTGTCATTGTTTGAAGGGATAGTTGTCCAATTTGCTCTGTTCTCCTTTCTCTGCTATGATACCAAATGTGCTGCCATATTCTCCATGCATATCAGGGTCTGTGTCTATTGCTCCTCCTTTTTAATTCGCAGGCAGGCCCAAGGACCAGAGTCAGGCAACCTGAACCCTGCTGATGCCCCCTCGCAGGGCACATGAAACTGGGACCAACTTCTCAGCCAGGCTCCAAGACCCGGGCCAAGTGACCCAAGATCCTCCAGATCCCAAGCTCTTGGGGTTCACAAACCCAGCTCCCACTGACAACAGGCTGGCATGGTTCACCTTACCTCAGCAACCACTATGACGTTGCACAGCTAAGTTCAGTCCAGCAGGCCCGCAGTCCGGCTCCTGCTGGTGAGCGCTGCGGTCTAGCCCAGTACATTCAGAACTCTTGCCTGACCCCAGTGTGAACTGGCTGGTGTTGTGACCTGATCTGGCCTCTCCTGCACCCTGTCCTGGTTCTCAGATCTGCCAGTTGGTATTATGAACTGGCCTAACCTGGTCTGTCCCCAGAGCCGACCCACATATATGCCATCAGATACTGTAACCTGGAATGGTCTGGACTGTTCCTTGCTTCAGTTCTTGTGCTCACTTGTCTGGTCTCCTCCCAGCAGCAGATCTCATACACACCAGTGGGTCCTTGGCCCAGGTTGACTTTGTCTACCTCCTGTCCTGGAGGAAGAGTGACCTTGCTCAACTAGCCCACACCCATTCTGTTTCTTACTTTTGGGTGTTGCAGCCCAGCCATGGTTGGTCCACACAAAGACACAGCTTCTTAGTGGTTCAGTGGGAATCAAGACCTTGTACTAGCGGGTGCCAGAGCGTAGCCCAGTCTATCGCTCCACAGACCCAGTCCACACCCACACCGAGGGAGACTGTAGCATGTCCAGCTCAGCCTGCTACCATCAATCTGGATCTCGTGCTCACCAGTGGGACCCCAACCCAGCTGGTATATCCCTTTAGTTCCCAGCCAGGCTGGTTCCCATTAACATTTCTTAGGTGCCAGCAGAGATTGCACTTCCACAGGGTGAGCCCACATATCCCTTACAGATTCTGCCACCAGACACAATTCTCTCACATGCTGGTTATGGTCATGGTCCATCTTAATTTCACCCTTCCCCTGTTCCAACTCGCACTAGTGGGTACTGTGATTTTACCCTGTCAGGTAGGCCTCAGCCTTAACTTTAGTGTGTGCCAGTGAGTGGTGCTCAGTGGTGGTCAATGCTAACTACCCTAGCTCAGGTCTCCCATGTGTGCTGGTGCTTCAGAATGACCTTTAATTGTCTTCCCATCCCTCCTCCCTCAAACTGTTTGGTCTCAACAGCTTCGATTATCTGAAAGTATAGTGGCTTTGTCCATGAATGTCCCCTCAGCAGTCATTCCTCTCCTGGTCCCCGCTCAGCTTCACTGGTGCTGTAGCCCACGTCCCATGTAAGCCCATATGCCCAAGTCTTTAGGGTGTGTCGCCACCGGGCAGCCCAAGGGCTTTACCCACCACCATTGGGGCCTGGGCCACCCAATCAGGAGTCACCTCTGCCACCTTAATAGGATATATGTTGTTTTTATTACAGGCCAGGTATTGTGTATGAAATGTAGAGAAATGCAGACATTCAGAATTGCAACTTTTTTTCAAGGAGTAATCAATTTAGCTTCATCTTTGCAGTTAGCATGTGGACATTACACTGCTGAAAATTATATACCTGATCAGATAAACATCTGTCTTAATCTTTGAAGGAATGGTTGCTTGAAGTGTGTTTTATGAGTTTTCTTATATCACAGTAGTCAGTACATTTCTGATTTAACAAATAAACATGAATATCGATGCTGCTATGAAATATTTTTACCTATGTGAAATACATAGTTGAACTTAAATAACAAAGATTGTTCTGTATTACATGTATGGGCTTCTATAATCTATTGAAAAGCCTTAGAAAAAATAGATAAGATATTGCAGGGACGGGGGAGTGATAATGAAAGAAAAAAAAAAAATTCCACCTGTGGACCATGACTTTCTTCCAAGCCTGTGGTATATAGCTAATCTCTAGTTGACTACCTTTGCTATGGATTTTACAATTTCCACGGCAGTCCAAAAATAATGGAAGGTGATTTCTGTCATAAATCACTGAATTCATTGTGATTCATTCAGAAATAATTAGAAACATGTATGTAGATATTTGACACGTATACTGTATATTCTATTTAGTTTGCTGTGCTTCTTTATTGAGTCTTAACTTCCAAAATGTAAATGAAGCATTATTCAGGGGAAAAAAGTTCATACGATGTAAATGAATACAAGAATATGCCATAGCGGCAGGATAGAATCTGTAGAAGTACATTTAAATAGGTCATTTTCCCTTGTGCCCCATGGCTGGAAGAAATGAGTATAAGATTCATAGTTAAAACCAAGATGGAGACATGGGCGGAGTCACAGAATTTGCAAAGGGGCGGGGCCAACTATACTAGGTCATAAAGGCATCCAGGCTGGCGATGCTCCCTTGCCACTTGGCCAGAAAGCAAGGCAATAGGAGCTGCCGAGAAACCAACAGCTGGTATAACCGCCCCAGAACCACTTCAGAATACTCGGACAAGCTAAAAAGATACAGAGGGGCGGTAAATGGGTCTTTGTGGGCCAACCCCGGGGTGCTGTAACACCACAGGAAGGGCTCCTTCGTCACTTCCTGTCGCTCCTTGGTAGCCTTCCCTGGGGACGAAATCTCTGCTACCCACAGACTTGACTTCCACTGGCCCCTCAGAAGTTTCTGGATTCGGCCTCAGCGCCATCTTGTGTGTGAAAATGGCGAACATCATCAGCCACAAGAGCCAATTTGTGGTGGGAGGCAAGTACAAACTGCTGAGGAAGATCGGGTCAGGAGGCTTTGGGGAGATTTACCTTGCGATTAACATCACCGACGGCAGGCAGCTGGCCGTGAAGTTAGAATCGCAGACTGCCAACAGTCCAAAACTGCTGGAAGAGAGCAAACTGTACACAATTCTTCAGGGTGGGGTTGGCATCCCTCGCATCAAGTGGCAGGGCCAGGAAAACGGCCATAATCTGCTAGTCATGGATCTTCTTGGGCCCAGCCTCGAAGACCTCTTCAATATGTGTTCTCGAAAGTTTACGCTGAAAACCGTGCTTATGTTGGCAGACCAGATGATCAGTAGAATTGAATATGTGCACAAGAAGAATATCATACATGGGGACATTAAGCCGAGTAACTTTCTAATGGGCACTGGCTGTCACTGTGAAGCATGTTTGGAGAATCCAGGGAGAAAGAGGAAGAGAAGCAGGACTGTCAGCACGACTCAGGATGACAAGGATATATCCTTGTCAGTAGAAGACCAGCTCTTCCTTATTGATTTTGGTCTAGCCAAAATGTACAGAAATGATGAAACAAACGAACACATCCCTTACAGCGAAGATAGAGCCTTTATTGGCACAGCCCGCTATGCAAGTATCAATGCACATCTTGGAATTGAGCAGAGTCGCCGAGATGACATGGAGTCTATAGGCTATGTTTTGATGTATTTTAATAGAGGCAACCTGCCCTGGCAACTACTGACGGTGACACAGATTAAACAAAGCCTTGACAAGATTCGTGAAAAGAAGATGGCCACGCCTGTTGAAGTTCTGTGTCAGGGGTTTCCTGATGAGTTCGCCACCTATTTGAACTACTGTCGTGCGCTGCAGTTTGAGGAAGCCCCCGATTACACCTATCTGAGGCAACTCTTCCGCAAGCTCTTTACAACTATGGACTATAAATATGACTACACCTTTGATTGGAATCTGTTAACGAAGAGTGAAGCAAAGCAGGCAGCATCTTCCAGCGCCAGGTTCTAGGCCCTGACTCAAGTGTCCCAAAGGCAAGCTGACTAAGAGTTCATTTAAACAGTCGCTAAGCAATGATTGTCAAACAGAACAATAGGAATAGATGATTGGAGCAGCATTTGTTGCCCCCAAATCTTGAAAGGTTAGTTGCTACAGGCATTAGCCAGTGGTGTTAAAAAAGAATGTTGATTTAAAGAATTGCATTGGTTATACAGTATGGTTCGGAGTTGTAGTCACTCTAATTGTATTAACTGATTGTGAAATGAAGTGTTTTGTTTTCTATGACATTTATGCAAATGTATGAAATTAAACATTTGATATACATATTGGCAGATAAGTTCGTGTGTGCCAATATTTCGTTCAGATCTTTAGTTGTCAACTATATTGTGTGAAACCTATTGCTGAAGAGCTGAGCAGTCTTCAACCACAGTTGTGATGATTGTGAAGTTCACAAATGGGAGTTATTAAGATTTTTCTGGTTCTGGGATGGCAAGTTATTCACTTAAATATTCTTAAAATTGTTGGCCCCAGTGTTCTTCAAGTTCAATTGAGGGGAGCTTGACAGCCATGTGTCTGGGTGAGGATATGTTGGGTTGAATCTCTTTGGGCTTTGCTGCCCTTCCGGTATTTGGCTTCCCCTTATTTCCAACGTTTGGGAAGTTCTTTTTTACAGATTCATTGAATACCTCCTGCGGTATTGCCTCTCTCTCCACAACTTCAGGAATTCCAAAAAATCTTATATTTGATTCTTTTTTAATAATGTCAGTTAGTTCAGGGATATTTTATTCTTTAAAAATTATTTATTTTTTATTAGAAAGTCAGGTATACAGAGAGGAAGAGAGACAAAGAGAAAGATCTTCTGTCCGTTGATTCAATCCCCAAGTGGCCACAACGGCTAGAGCTGAGCCAATCCAAACCAGGAGCCAGGAGCCTCTTCATGTTTCCAACACAGGTGCAGGGTCCCAAGGCTTTATGCCATCCTTGACTGCTTTCCCAGGCCACAAGCAGGGAGCTGGATGGGAAGCGAGGCCACAGGAATTAGAACCATTGCCCATATGGGATCTCGGCTCATACAAGGGGTGAACTTCAGCTGCTAGGCTATTGCACCAGGCCCAGGGATACTTTATTCTACGGGTGAGGTTTTCTGTAGCCTTTTTGTTTTGTTCTATTGTATTAGAGCAGAAACGCCCAAGATTATACCTGATGGACTGTGTTATTGCAATACACAGGGGCTTCGTGGGGGCAAAATAGATGAGAGTGGGGAGAGGGAAGAAGACATATGCCTGCAAAATGTATAATAAATATAATAATAAATAAAATGGTTGGCCTCTTCTTTGCTAGACAGTTGATATGGTAACAACCAGAAATTTCAGCATTTCTGCATATAAAAGTCTCTGCCCGTTCACCTATCCTAAAATAACAGCACGTATTTTCATTGGATTGTTTTCATAGCCCCTGCCCATATTGCCACTAAATTAGGAATTTTTTAGTTATCTATATCTTTGCTGAGTGAAACAACTTCACTTTAATGTTAATTTAAAATATTGCCTCAGGAATTAAAAAGTAAGAAGGAATGGGAAAGGGAGGCAGGAAGGAAATTTGATGATGTATTTCAAAGTTGACTGTGAACTATATTAATCTGTTCTCTCAGCAAGTTAAAATGAAAAATATGAAGAAAGAAAACTGAGTGAGTACTAGATAATTCTTAGGACTCTATTAATTCTATAATATTCTTTGTATTAAATAAAATCATTTGTCTCAAATTTAGTTAACATGGTACACGGTTAAATAAATGTAATCACCATAAACATCTAAAAAATTATTCATACATAATTTATTCTACCTTTTTAATGTGATTAGCTTTGGGAATGGAAATGCAAATGAAAACACAGTAAATATGATAATTTCCCTACCCTCTTCCCACTTATACACATCAGAGAATAGCTGATCTTTATCCATGGCTTAAAAATTCATATAATATTGAATTTATGATTTCAGAATTTTTTTTAATTCTACAGTGCAAAATGTAAGTGCCTTTTCAAGGTTGATCTTGAAACAAGGGAAAAAAAATCATCAATTATTTCCCTGAAATTAATTAACATAAAGTATTAAGAGAAAATATTGACTAAATACTAGAAGTCTCTATTGAACCTATAAAATCTAGGCAGCTAATAATGATTCTTGATAATCCTCAAGGTGAATGATATCCCATCACTTTCTGTTAGTTCAGACTGCTTTTCTTTTTTGAAATAAGCTAATGTTACTCCAGTAAGCTTAAAAAAATCATAAATATCATTGCATATATTCAAGAATAAATTACCTTTGCTTTTGGAGACTAACCAAATGAAACAAATATTCTGCATTTGGGTCAAGTACATTTCTCTTACAAAATAAAACACCAATTCTTTGAAAATAATCTAAAGCTTTTTTTTTTGAATGATTTCCTTCAAAGATTTTTATTAACCAGCTTGAAACAAATTGTTTAAAACAAGTTGATCACATATTATCTGAAATCTTATTTTGAAACTCAGTTATAATGAAATTCAGTGTTCTTTAGGTGTCTAATTAGGATTTCTTCTTAAGACATAGGTTATTACTTCAGCTTGGTTCTCAAAAATGTATAATTTAAGTTTGTGTAACAGTCTTCATTAGTCATCTAACAAAATGTATAAATGATTTTTTTCTAATCCTATTTAAATACTAATTTTTGCACAGAAGCTTCAAGTTGCGTTAAGTCTTGCAATTCCATCCAAATTTTTGCTTGGTCTTCAGATATGTTATGTTAACCTATGCCCTGTACAACCTACATCCATACAAGAATGGAAACTCAAAGATTTTAGGCTTCTGGAGACTGACATATGAGCCTGACAGTTTTATGAAATTAAACAATAAAACAGCTGAAAAACCAGTAAAAAAAAAACAGTAAGGTATTCTTTGAGATTTTTTTTTTAACCTGGAGTCAACTTTACTAGAACCAAAAATATTATCACATGGTTATTACGATTAACATTCTTTGCCTCACGCTGTAGTGATGCATATAGTGCACAACAGGAGTTATCAAGAATATATACTTTTTTAAGATATATATTTTTAATTATTTTAAACATTATTTATTTTTATTGGATATATAGTGAGAATGAGAGACAGAGAGGAAGATCTTCAGTCCAATGGCTCACTCTCCAAGCGGCTGCAACAGCTGGTGCTGAGCCAATCCGAAACCAGGAGCCAGGAGAAGCTTCCGGGTCTCCCATGCAGGTGCAGGGTTCCAAGGCTTTGGGCTGTCCTTGATTGCTTTCCCAGGTCACAGGCAGGGAGCTGGATGGGAAGTGGAGCTGCCGAGATTAGAACCGGTGCCCATAAGGGATCCTGGTGCGTTCAAGGCAAGGACTTTAACTGCTACACTATCGTACTGCGCCCAGATATATTTATTTTTGAGTGGCAGATTTACAAAGGAGAGACATAGAAATATCTTCCATTTGCTGGTTCACTCCACAAATGGCCACAGTTTTTGGAACTGAATTAATCCAAGCTAGGACCCAGGAACTTCTTTTGAATCTCCCACATGGGTGCAGGGGCTACTTCTGGATCTTCCATATCTGTCCTCTACAGTATTTGCTACCCATAGGCAGGGATCTGAATTATAAGCATCGAAGACATAATAGCAGGCAGACACTAGCAGGCAGACAATTAGCCTGTTGAGCCAATGTGCTGGCTCAAAGAAAATAAGCTTTCCAACATGGTGGAGAAAATTGCAATAGCATGGGGCAAGTGTAAGACACTGTTTTACTGTGGCTAGCCATTTATTAACAAGCACTAATTAGTCAGAATGTCCATTGAGAATACAAAAGCTACTACACCTAGTTGAATTATTTAGTTATAGCTTTTAATATTTTTAATGCGTTTAAAAAAGATAATTTCATGAAAAAGAGAATTGTCAGTACCCTCTTGTTAACTGGTTTCTGAAATAAGTTAGTTTACATAGAAAATATAATTGTATGTTAAAAATTAAGTTGGAATCTTCCACAAGCATTTGTCCTCAAAATTTAACATTTACTAAAATAACGTTATGCTATGTGCTTAATCTCATTCTTCGTTGTGTTCAAAGACTAATGCAGACAAGAAAAAAATCCACATACAAAGTATTGTTCCATTATGCTTCTGAGACAATTGTGCAGATTAATAACTTGAAACATCATACATTTCTCAACTACATTCATTCATCAAAGATGAAAGCAAACAGTATCTGAATGAATGTTTTTATTTAGTAGACATGAAAAATGAGAAATACCAAACTTTTAATTCTCTCTGTACATAGCATGCTTTATTTTCCATTGCATTTAAAAGGTGTATTTAAATCATTGCTTACACTGCTAAGAGGTATGCACAACCATGTGGGTTTCTGGTCAATGCGTGGAGGAAGACAAATCCAATGTGATGGGTGGGACAAATGTTTCAGTATTATATTTTTCTCCTGTGTCTGAAGGAAGGAGGGGGGAGGGGACCACTCCTTGCTGTCAAACTACATTGAACCTGGGTATTGTGGACATTCATTTGATGACACCTTAGAGACCATGATGTGGGGAAGGGTATTCTAAGAGTGTTCACTTGAGTGGTTTTGAAGGTTCTGAGATGTCATTGGCTTTGTTGCAGTAGGGTTGGTTGAGAAAATCATTCCAAGGTCTACTGATTAACCAGGTCCACCTTTGTGCATCCCCAGGTCCAGGAATGTGTGTGTGTGTGTGTGTGTGTGTGTGTGTGTGTGTGTATTTCATATTTTCATTGATGAACACATCTATATTGAATCCTTACCTTTGCTATTGTAATTTGAGCTGCTCTAATCATGGTATGAAAACATATTTTCATTTGCTGATTCTACTTTTTTTGTATGTTTCAACAGTGGAATAGCCAGGTTAAATGGTAGACCTATTTTGGTTCTACGGCGTCTCCATACTGTTTTCTATAATGTCCACATTCCCAACAACAATATTAGTGTATCCTTTATCCACAAACTC